GTGGCCACAGACTTGAACTCCACAGGTGACTGAGGACGTGGAGCTGAGGACCTAGGGTGCCAGAAGCAAAAAGGACATATGGGCAGCAGGTAGCTGAGGTCCCAAGGACGGGGGGTGGGAAGGGCAAGAGCCCATGAATCTGGCCAGGGTGAGCGTTGTTATTGTTATTATTATGAAGCATCTCAAGGCTCACACTCATCCTGGCCTGGCCAGGCCCCATTAATGGCCCCATAAATCCCAGCCATAAAGAGTAATGGGGGGAGACAAATGAGATAATTAGGAATAAATCTCACCGAGGTCTCTATTCAGCAGCGTCCCTGGAACGGGCCAATCTTCCGAGCCATTAGCCGGGCCCCTAATTAATGCTGAGCTGCCCGGTGCTGTGGACGCTCCAGGCACGGGAGGGCCCCAGCGCCGAGGAGGGGCAATGCCGCTCCTGCAGCCCAGGCGGGTGACCTTGGCACGAGCCCAGGGACGTGTGCCCACAGCCTGCCTGCCTCGAGTTTCTGCCTCCAGGGCCTTGGGGATGCTTTGTCTGCGCTGTCCTGATCCCTCTGCCTCGTGGTCTCTCCGCCTCCTTTCCTCCATTTTGCTCCATCTCCCGTTTACCTTCAATCTCTGCTTCTCTCTTATCAGACGGTCCCTGCGTCGATGAGCCATGGAAGGTCTGACTTAGCAGGAAGTGCAGGGGGCCACCTGTAACCACCCTCCTGCATCTGTCCTCCCTGCCACCAGTCAACACCAGCGCAGGGACCCCATCGACACCCCTCACCCAGAACAGTTCTTAGAACACACTCCCCCCCACCACCACTGCAGTGCACACCCCTTGGGTGGTTCTCAGAGGTCTCTCTTGCCTGGGGCTGGGAGCTCTCTCCTTGTTATCCTGTCTGCCTCTAGGGCTTACCTCTGCCTGCTGGAGCCTGAGACGGAGCCTCACTCTCCTCCCAGGCTTCGGATATTTGAAGGCCTTAGTCCACGACTTCTCTTCCTCAGCCAGATGCCCTGAACGGCATTAGACAACTTGTGTTTTCCAGCCAGGACTCCCTTACCCAGGCACCTCCTCTGGGCCCACTCATAGTGACTTCTGTTGTTTAACCTGCCAGCCTCGGCCCTCCTTTTGGTCATAGCACCTCTACTTCTTTGGGAAATTTGACCACATGGTTCTGGAGGTGGTCAGCCATGTCACCCACCCTCTCCGGCCACAGAGGCCTGGCCCAATGTAGCCCTCTGTCCCCTGACACGGTGACTAGCCCAGGGGTGGGCCTTAGCACTTTCCCTGGGCCCCCTGAGGTGGCAAAACTGAGAAATGCCAGGCAGATGCAGCATGTGAACATCTCTCTTTCCCACCTCTGAGCCCCGCTTCCTGTCTGCACTAGGAGGGAATGAGGCTGTGACCCAGAGCCAGCAGGAACTGAGGGCTGTTGAGCGTCAGGGAAAGGTAGGAGAGCCAGGCGAGGGGCCGGGAAGGCTGGGAGGGGCTTTTCTCTGGAGGAGGTGGAAGGGGAGGGGAGAGCCGGGGCAATGGGGGGGGCGTGGCCACAGGCACCATCCCACGCTTATCTGCTTGCCATCCTAGGAAAGTTGGAATGCGACAAAGAGAATGAATATGGAGGGGACAAGGGGCCAGGCCTGTGACCTCTGTCCCCACTGCTGCTCCCACATGTGCCCTGAGGCTCCTGTCCCTGCTTTTCCCCCGCCCCTCCTTGCACGGGCCAGTCCTGAGAGGACCACACTCCTTCCCACTGCTCAGCAACAGGCAGTGTCTGCAGCAACTATCTTGAGAGCCATGGGGAGCAGCCCTGACTCCCCACCACCGCCTCATCTTCCCACGGGAGCTGGCAAAGGCCCGGGGCATGGGGTGGCTTAAAGGTGTTCCCCTCCTGGCCCAGGAGCCATGGGATGTCAAGGCCTGACTCCAAGTTGGCCCAGCTCTGGGTAGGAGCACGGGGAATGCCAATTAAATGTGCCAGAGAACAGGAGAAGCTGGTGGAGGCTATGGAGGCAGGGGGGTGGGCCGACCACCCCTTCCCTCACAAGCCAACCCCTGGCTCAGCTGCTTGCTCTCGGGTTTGGCACACAGGACCACCCAGCAGTCACAAACAGTCCTGGCCAGGGACAACTCAGCCTGGCCTCGCCACCTTGCCCTCTCACAAACGTGGTAATGCCTGTCTAGGCTTAGACACCCCAAGGCCTGGGGGTGGCCCTCAGGAAGTCTCCCGGGATGTGGGGGGGGCTGGTCTGCTGCTCCACCAATGAAAGGAAACCAGGCTACTTCCTTGGACGCGGTGGCAGCCATTAGATTTCCACTAGGCTCATTGCTGTTCCCTCGTACACGTGAGGAAACTGAGGCCCGGAGAGTGACAGCGACTCCTCCCCAGGCCCCACGGCAAAACCTGGCTCAGACCAGCTGGTTAGAAAGCAGAGACGGGGAGCCAGCAGGGATGGGCCATGGTGTGGAGGGGAAGGGTCCAGAGCCAGGGCTTGTCCAGGAAGGGTCTGTGGGCAGAGCTGGGGGGTGGGTGGCCTCTCAGGTAAATGCCATCTGCTTCTCAGCAGAGGTGAGGGCCACCTGGGCAAGGACATGGGAGGTGGGGAAGGCAGGGCAGGCGTGGAAAGAGGGGGAGCAACACAGGGATCAGGCTGAGCAGGGTGGCCGTGTGGGAGGCTCTGAAATGTGCAGCGTGTGAGCGCATGTGTGTGTACGCCTGGTGTGTGTGTGTGTGTCTGAGACTTTGTGGAATGTACATGAGCGTGTGGCTGTAAGGAGAGTGTGTGAGTTTGTGTGTATGTGTGTGCTGGTGGAGGCTGGCTGAATCCCGCCCCCGTCTCGCCCCGACCCAGCTCAGCCTCTCGGGTTTCAGCCACTGTCCTGCAGCAGGAAATCACTATTTGGACTGCAGAGGTGCCTCTTCCTGCCGGGCCCCCACGGAGGGGAGAGGCCGGGGAGGGGGCCTTCCTGCCCACCTGGATCAGACCTCGAGTTGGTCAGGAGCAGCCCCCACCACAGTCCTCCCAGCCACCCTAATGTCTCTCGGACACTAGCCTTGGAGGACCTGGGTTGAGTGGGGACTGAACGGAAGCCCTCCTACCATCGTCTGTCCCTCTGTGGACAAAAAGCCACAGCAGTGAGAGAAATGGATGCTCCCTGTGGCCACGGGAGCTGCCTGGCACCCCTGCTCAGAGGCCAAAGTCACAAACGCATGTGCCCCGAGGCCCAACAATCCCACCTCCAGGAATATTCCATAGATACAGCTCGTTGGTACAAAAGGACTTGCTCATGCAGTCTTGCTTATAACAGGGAAATTAACGGAAGGGATTAAGCAGGAGCCAGGCAGCGGGAGCGTGGCTCAGCCTTCAGGGAGGCTCCAGGCTGCTCTTCGGCGTGCTGACTGGGAAGATGCCCAAGACATGAATGGTCAAGTGATAAACATGGTGCAAGGTGCATTCTGAAGTTTTTGCAAAAAAAAGAAAAGAAAAAAAAAGACACAAGTAATAGTAATAATAGCATGGAGTTAGTTACTTTTGTTAAACTTTAACGTTACGTTGTTGGGTCGGATGCGAATACTT